AGTAATTTATAAGAAAACTTGAAGTCACTTGATTCTTGTAAGAAAATAACAAGGATACTATAGTGTATGGTTTTTCAAATCCTTGACTGATTGTTTTCATAGGTTATGAAACCCGCAAACAGTCGTATACATTTCAACTTTAGTTTCACTCTGAAATTGATACTGTATTGTGATGGAGGCTAATGATGATAATACTATTGTTGAAGCTTACTGTTGTATTTGATACTATTGTAAACATGACGATTGAAATAAATGTAGCTTCGCTCACAAAATAAAATACAACACAATAATGATCAGTTCAAAAAAGGTAGTGGTTAAAATAAAGCAATGTCACAATATATTAGGAACAGTCATGACCAACATGCAGACTATAAATAGATTCTAAAAATATGTGCCAAAAGTTAAAAGAATCACAAAATGGACAAATCTGACAAAAGTACACCAAGACACTTGCATATCAAGTATCAAAGCAACTGAGCTGGTAGCTTTCAAGACGAAATTGAAAATATATTTTACCAAAAAATGCCAAAAATATTTATTAAAAATCAATAAATCTGACAGAGGTCAATCCAAGCTGGCTATGTATTAGGTATTAAAGCGGCTGAGCTGGTAATTTTCAAGAAGAAGTAGAAAATTTAATTTTTGACAGAAGAGTGACAATCCCCTACAGGCGCGGTGAAAAAATATGCAAAACATGTTGAGGCAAATGCCGATGGGAAAAACATTTGCACACTTGTAGTAGCCAGATTCACCAGAAATTTTGACAGAAATTACCAAAAGCAATTAGAATACTCTGGAATTTGGATGACATGGCAATGCTTCAGTTTGGGGCGGTACTCAAAAGTCAAAACCCGGATCTGTCCGGGACAATTCAATGGTTAATGACATCAAAGGTTAATGACAATTTCCAATTAATTTATTTATACAGTGCACTTCCAACTCTATACTGAATCCATATTTATAGTTTATTTTTTTTAACTGGTACTACACTTAAAAAAGAACACAATATTTGACAAAAATAAACAGACTGCATTTATATCATTTCAAAGCACGTCCTAAATTCCCTTACAGCTCTTCTACATTTCTGATGAATTTGAGTAATTCGGGACTTAAATGTCACCTTTTCAAATTGTTAATTTTTTTCAGAACTTGCATGCAATTGAGCTCTTTTCTTTAAATGTAAAATTTGAGTTGGAAAATTGTCAATGCATATTAGTGTTAATGCATTTTATACCCTAATAAGACACTTGTTCAAAACCAAAGGGAACTTGTCGATGCATTAATAAATGCATTAATTATCTACTGGGTTTTAATTCTCAATTTTCACTGATAAGTAAAACCTGCTAAATTAAATCTTAGTGAACATTTTAAATAACATAGAACTCATTGTTTCTCTGCCAAATTTGTGAAGTTAAAACGCAGAAAAAGATTCAAAATTGTGAAATTAAATGCTAAGAAGAATGGATGGTTTGACATTTAACAGAACAATTGGAAACCACACAACAGACAACCAGCACAAATTTGTACTAAAACTAGCATTTTGTGGGCTGATATTTTCAAAATAACAAGAATATTCACTAAAACTAGGAAATTGAAGTTATCATAAAATCGACAAAGGAATGAATTACCGGTAAATCAACCTGACAAAGCTGGTTTTAAAAAAGACATAGCTATTTTTTATCAAAAATAAATTTTCACTAAAATTAAAGAACAGACGGTATCATCACACAATGAATAATCTGGTAGAAGTCTGTCCAAAGTATCAAATCATTTAGGCTAGCAGAAAATAAAATTATATATAAAGATATCTGAAAAAGTTCCACTCAAGGTACCTACACATGTACATATAAAATATGAAAGGAATTGGGCTAGCTATTTCCAATAAAAATGTTTATCAAAAATATTCATTGAAGCTAAAACTCATCGGCACGAAATTAACAAATGTGATAGAAAACTACCTAAGGTACATTTGTATATAGTAAGTACAAAACCCAGACAGATGATGGTTTTGAAGTAGTTGAAAATGTAAAGTTACTACAGTCAGTAATAGCCTTGCTTTGTCAACACAAAATCATATTACTGGAATGAACATTAATCCACCAATTACAATACAGAAGTAACAAGCATTCATGATTGAGAATGTACAGTCCCTACTCTGTATTTAATGAAAAAGTTGATTACTAGCAGTGATCCAGGATTATGGGGCTTGCTGGCAATGTTCTTTATTGAGCAGAAAATATTTGGTTAATCGGTAAAAAAAAAAATTTGTGCAATCAAATTCAAGTACCGGTACATTTGTATGTAAAATCAATATACATGTACTGAGTTTGAGAGAAATCATGCAAGCCATGCATTATCCTGAAACAAAGTTTGAATGAAATTGTCCTTCATCTTTATACATATTTACAGATGGATTTTAGGATTTAAACAAAATGGTCGTCAATTTGACAAAACACAAAATAACACAACCTATGGTATTACTAACAAAGATAATACTTGTGTGCAAACTATCAACCAAATCAGGCAATATACATGCATTAGTAGGGAATTAGCTCAGACACAAATAAAGACAAAATGGCCACTAATCTGCCATTTTTGTTTGAATCTAAAAAATATATTATGTGCACCTGTTACCCAATATGTATAATCTTGATGAAAAGTTTGAATGAAATCAACCAGTTCATCTCAGAGTCCACGTAACCTTTTGAGCACCATCTTTTTTCTGCAAAAAATTGAGTGTTTTTTTTTAAATATTAATGCTATTTTGGGACCAAATATATATAATTACCAATTGCCTGCAAGCCTTGATGAAATTTTGGGGCTCAAAAAATTTATGAAAATTTGACAAATTTGAAGACCAAAATGACACACTTTGTGATTGGCAGAGTTGTGCTTGATTCAGTCAAAACTATTTCACAATTAACCATGATTTGGAATTGTGATCTATGGTCTGTGTGTTAAGTTTGAATGTGATTGATCAACACATGGCCTCAGGCGCATGCACCGACGGATGGTCAACAGGCAGAACCTAAATTAATTTTAATAGTCTCCAATTAAAAATAAAATGACAGATTGTAAAAAAAAATTGGATTGATAAGATTGTCATATACTGGTGTAGACAGGTACAGCCTGGTACAAGGATTCACTGTATCATAGAGACTAGGTCAAACTGTAATGGAAAATCACCAACATGCCTAACAACAAAAGTATGAAGTGACGTCTAACCACTGTCTCATGATGATATAATCAGATGAACACATTACCATGACAACAATACACAAAAACTCAATACTAATCATGATGTCATGAATAATCATTTTGGGGTCAAAGGAGATTTCAATTAATGTGCCCAAAAATCATTTATTCCATTTTAGTTTGCACATACAAACTTCTATTTAGGGGGCCGGGATGTTGCTAAAAAAAATAAAATTAATTTTGCTGTGCATGTGTTTTAACTATCCACATCCCCATTAGTACACTTTTAATTTTAGTCGTAGACCTGAACCCGACCACTAACTAGAACTACCAGTAACCCATATAGCACGTTAATTCACAATTTCTATTAATTAATTTGTGCACCCAATTTATTATAAAAACTAATCAATAAATGTATTCTATTAATTTGCATAAGTTCAAAAAATCTTTGCGGTAAATACTTGTCAGCTGACGTCAGCCTAAGAGAAAATATCTTGGGATTATCGGTATATACAATTCTATACTGCATTTTCTCTTTTAGAAGTGCATACAGAGGATAGTACCACACAAATTTTCAAAGTGGCATGGCAACTTTAAAGTTGTATTGCCGACAAAATTTTGTTTGAAGCCCTTTACATTTTGATTAAAGCGAAAATAGCTGTGATTTTGAAAAATATTTTGTTTAAATATAACTACAC